TATAATCAAGCAGGGCGAGGAAAATCCCACGTAGAGCCGGAAAGCACAGACGAATATGCAATAGAAAACGATCGAATCAAATAGATGAGTAGAGTGGAGCGGAATAAAGCAGAGTAGAGTAGAACTGAAGAAAATAGAAGAGAGAAGAGGAAAGTGAGTTAGAGTAGCGTAGAATAGAACAAACTGGGTATAATGGAGCGCGTGGGGTACAATTTGGTATGCTCGAGCGGAGCACAAGAGAACGACACAGATAGGAGTTGAACTGAGTAGGGCAGAATAGAGAAAGGCAGAAGTAGAGCACCGTTGAATAGAGTAGAAAAGACTAGGGTAGGATATGGTAGCATATAGCAGGGCTGGACAACGCCATGTACACGGACGCAAGATAGGGCAAGGTAGAACGTAATGGAGTAGAGTGGGGTTGATGATATAGTACAAACGGGCATAACGGAATAGACAAAGAAAAACAAGGTATACTAGAATTACTCCGAATGTAGGACCCATATGAAAAGCTGTCCATTTTGCTCCTCGTTTCTCCCTTCTCGCCCTGGCAGAGGCCTCCTCCCGCCCTGTGTTGCGCCTCCTTTTCCTCATATTCCTCCTCCTCGTCCTCCGCCCCCCTCGTCCTTCTCGTCCTGCTCCTCCTCCTCGTCCCTTTTTCCACCTCCCCCTCGTCCACCACTTTTTCCTCTTTCTCCATTTTCTCATCTCCATCCCTCCTGTTCTCCCCATGCACATTTCCTTCCCTCTGGCCAGGGCCGATTTTCTCGGCACCCTCACCGCCACGGCCACAAGGGACGCGTTCTCCGATGGCCAGATCACATAGCCGTTGGGACAACCCCGCGGGCCAGGCCGTTGGGACACCCCGCGAGCCGCTGGGGCGCGGAAGCAAGCCGTTGGGACAACCCCGCAGGTCTCGAGCTAGTCGCGGCCGCGGTCAGGCGTGAGGCCGTGCGAAGCCCAGCTCTGCCTCGAGCTGCTCCGCCTCAGCCTTGGAGGTCACCCACCGCTTTCTCGTCGAACTCGCCGAGCGCCTTCCACAGGGACACTGGCGGCCCGCGCTCCAAGAACTCTCGCGTGGGCGGCCGCAACATCGGCGTGATCCGCACGCACGTGGCGCGGGAAAATATGACCTAGACGTGCAGCCACCACTGCTCGTCCGACACGCCCATGCGACCAGCGTCCTCATCCCTTGCGCAGCGTCTGACCCTGCGACAGTGTGGAAGTCAGGTAGGGCGCGTGCGTCAGGGTGAACCCCGAGCGGCGCACGGCGCGCGGCCCCGATAGAGGCTCAAATGACCCCATCGGGGTACTCAAATGGAGGGATAGCATTTGCCCCCCTGGGGTGCTCAAATGCGATGCCTGGCTCATGTTTCCGATGACCCGCTCGGATTACCAACATAAAATGCGGGCCGCATAGGGAGGGGGGCTCCCGCCTGAGACTCAAACCGCAATTCATTCACAAACGGGGCTCTCGGCGGCGGCGGCGGCGGCGGCGGCTGGCAGCGCCGACGCCCACACCCACGCCCACACCCACACCCACGCCCACGCCAACGCTCACGCCCACACCCACGCCCAGGCTGCCGCCCACGCCCGCGCCCACGCCCACGCCAACGCTCACACGCACGCCCACGCCCACACCCGCGCCCAACGCCCACGCCCACGCCCACACCCACGCCCACGCCCACGCCGAAGCCCACGCCGAAGACCACGCCCACGCCCACGCCCACGCTCGCGCCCACGCCCACGCCCACACCCACATCCACGCTGGCCCGCGCCCAGGCCCAGGCCCAGGCCCTCGCCCAAGGCCCGCGCCCAAGCTCACACCCACGCCCACGAACACGCCCACACCGGCGCCCACGCCCACGCCTGCGCCCACACGCCCGCGCCCACGCGAACGCTCACACGCACGCCCACGCCCCCACCCGCGCCCACGCCCACGCCCACACCCACACCGGCGCCCCACACGCCCACCGCCCACGCGCAACGCCCACACCACGCCCACGCCCACGTCCGCGCCCACGCCCACGCCCACGCCCACGCCCACGCCCACGCTCACACGCACGCCCACGCCCACACCCGCGCCCGCGCCCACGCCGCCCACGCCCTCACTCACGCCCACGCCCACGCCCACGACCACGACCACGACAATGCCCACGCCCACGCCCACGCCCACGCCCAACTCCGCGCCCACGCCCAAGCACAGGCCCACGCCCACGCCCACGCCCACGCCCACGCCGGCGCCGGCGCAGGCCCGGGGGAGGGGGCGGGGGCGGTGGCGGATCCCCCCCCCTCCAAGCGCCCACAGAACGCGCTCTTTCGAACATGAAGTGCGGGCCCCATAGGGAGGGGGCTCCCGCCAAAGATTCCCTCGCAATTCATTATCAACCGAGGCCCCCGCTCGAGACATCCTCACGATTTGCCCAATTGGGGCGCTCAAATGCTATGCCTGGTAGATGATCCCGATGACCCGATCGGATTCGAACAAGAAGTGCGGGCCCCACAGGGAGGGACTCTTCCTCGCATTTCACTCACAAGGGGGCCCCCGCTCGAGACATCCTCACGATTTGCACACTTGGGAGCTCAAACGGTATGCCTGTTATCGGATTACCTACATGAGGTGCGGGTCCCATAGGGAGGGGGGCTCCCGCCTGAGACTTAATCGCAATTCATTCACAGATGGGGCCCCCGGCAGCGGCCGCGGCGGCGACGACGACGACGGCGACGATGATGATGACGATGACGACGACAACGCCGACGATGGAAATGATGATGATGATGATGATGATGATGATGATGATGATGATGATGATGATGATGATGATGATGATGATGATAATGATAATGATGATGATGATAATGAAAATGATGATGATGCTGCTGATGATGATGATGATGGCGGTGGTGGTGATAGTGGTGATAGTGATGGTGATGGTGATGGTGATGGTGATGGTGATGGTGATGGTGATGGGGATGGGGATGGGGATGGGGATGGTGATTGTGATGGTGATGGTGATGGTGATGGTGATGGTGATGGTGATGGTGATGGTGACAGTGCTGGTGATGGTGATGGGGATTGTGATGGTGATGGTGATGGTGATGGTGATGGTGATGGTGATGATGATGGTGATGGTGATGGTGATGGTGATGGTGATGGTGATGGTGATGGTGATGGTGATGGTGATGGCGATGGTGATGGTGATGGATGATGGTGATGGTGATGGTGATGATGGTGATGGTGATGGTGATGGTGATGGTGGTGATGATGATGGTAATACTTATGGTGGTGATGATGATGGTAGTGATGATGATGATGATGATGACGACGACGACGATGACGATGACGATGACGATGATGACGATGATGATGACGATGATAATGATGATGATGAGTATTATGATGGCGATGACGGGGATGCCGATGACGATGATTATCATGATGATGGTGAGAATTCGCCGGCCCAACGGGCCAGGGCGTGCTAAGATCTCCGGTAACTGGTTAACAGTATTAACAGTATTTCTAGTTCGCGCGCGCGGGGCGGCCCCTGGGGGTCCCCCGGCGAAAAGTACCCCGACCAACGCCCGGTCGCCGCCCGGTCGCCGCCCGACCGCCGCCCGACCGCCGCCCGACCAAGTCTACTCAGAGATGGTTTTCCTTCTGGGTGCGGCCTCTCAGGCTCCCCAGAGCGCGCTCAGAGTGCCCCAAGAGGCCCCCAAGACTGCCCAAGAGGCCCCCGAGACGCCCAAAGAGCGCTCGAAGACGCCGAAGATGACCCCAAGACGGCCCAAAAGGCCCCCAAGACAGCCCAAGAGGCCTCCAAGACGCCCCAAGAGCCTTCCAAGAGGCCTCCGAAGAGAGCCCCAAGAGGCCAAAATCGTTGATTTTCATTGGTTTTTTCGATGTTTTTTTGTGTTCTGGCTTTTTCGGCTTCCGGACGCTCCAAGACGGCCCAAGAGGCCCCCAAGACCGCTCCAAGACGGCCCACGAAGCTCCCAAGACGGCGCCGAAACGACCCAAGAGAGCCCTCAAGACGGCCCAAGTGCCGCCCAAGACGGACCAAGAGGCCCCAAGACGGGCCCAAGAGGGACTCAGGAGGGATACCGAGAACTCAAAAATGGAGCCCTCCGTCCCAGAAGGCGCCCAGGAGGTCCCAAAGAGGCCCCAAGAGGCCTCCAAGAGGCCCCAAGATGTCGCCAAGAGGCCCCAGGAGACTCCCAGGAGGCCCAAAAGAAGCCCCAGAAGGCTTCAAACATGTCTCCCAGGCGCCCCCGAACGGCCTCTCAACAGACCCCAAGAGGCCCCCCAAAGAAGCATCTTGACGACGACTCTATTTCGCCCCATCGAGAGACGACCCCCAGGGAACTGCTTCACCATCAAAACTCCCCACGCAACGCGTCCGAACGACACCCGCCCCCAAGAGCGCAACATGGGCAACGAACACACAGACAAAAACCAGCGATGCCATATCACGGGCCGGCGGAATGAGCGAAGCGATTCAATAATGATAATGATGGTGATGATGATGATGTGGATGTGTGGATGTGTGAGCGAGGAAGAGAGAGGGGAGGAGGAAGGGAGGAGAAGATCCTGCGAGGGGGATGTGCAGAGAAAACGTGAGCCCCAATTTGGATGTGGGGAATAAAATAGAATACCCCAGTCCAGTCCAGATTGCTCCAGTCCAGTCTATTTCATTCCACTCCGGTTCACTCCACCTCAGCCTTCTGAGAATTTAGTGGTGGCGTTGCTTAAGGAATGTGCCCAGGAGGCTTCAGACGCTGGGGGATTCCTGATCTAACGAGGGCGGCGGTGATACTCATGGCCAGTCCACGATTGGAGTTCCACCAGCTTCTCGACCCTCGATTCCTTATCCAATGATTCCCTATCCAGCGCCCGTACCGTATTTGAAGTCTGCGCTGGCTGATATTTTACATCCCGAGAGAGAGGAGGCAGGAGGCGGGAGGCAGCAGAGGGGCCCCCGCCCAGCCGGCGGAGCCAGCCCAGCCTCGGGCGGCTGGTAGTCCGTGCTGGGCTCCTGCTTGCCTCTCGGCCGCGGGCCCCGGTCCTCCCTCGCCGGGCACCCACCCCTCGACCCCATCCCTCCTCCTCCACATTCCTTCTCCTCCTCCTCCTCCTCCCTCCCTCCCTCCCTCCTCCTCCTCCTCCTCCTCTTCCTCCTCCTCCTTCAGGCAGCTTCTGCACAATCACCACCGACAGGTCCTGACACCAGACGGACATGGCGCTCCTCGGGCCAAAGGCGGCCTGGAGGCAATGAAAAGCACAAGGCCTGGGAAGAGGTTCTTGCGAAGAGGCCGAAGGGTGTGCTCAAGATGATGAGTGCGTGCCCGCCCCGCTTGGGCTGTGGCACCCCTCTCTGGGCCGCTCCGAGGCGCGCCGCCGCGCGGACCGGAGGCTAAGGTTGCACATGGCGCGCGCGGGGCACGTCGGCTTCGAGGAAAGGCATGTTTCTGAAGAGCAGCGAGCCTTCGAGGAGCAGCAGAACGCATGCAAGGAGCAGCACACATTCGCGGAGAAGCACGTCGTCGAGGAGAAGCAGAACGCCTTCGAGGTGCAGCATGCCTCCGAGGACAAACTGAGCGCTCTCCAGGAGCAGCACGCCTTTGCGGGGCAACATGAGAACCCCTTCGAGAACCAGCACGCCTTGACGGAGCAGCAGACCTTCACGGAGAAGAACGCCTACGCGGAGAAGCACGCCTCCGAGGAGAAGCAGCACGACGTTGAAAAGCAGCACGCCTACGAGGAGCAGCACGCCTACGAGGAGAAGCAGCACGCCTTCGATGAGCAGCACGTCTTGACGGGGCAGCAGAACACCGCGGTGGAGAGGCACGCCTTCACGGAGCAGCAGACCTTCTAGGAAAAGCACGCCTTCGCGGAAAACGATTTTGAGGAGCAGCACGCATTCGAGGAGAAGCAGCGCACCTCTGAGGAGCATCACGCCTTCGCGGAACAGCAGAAAGCCTCTGAGGAGCAGCGCAACTTCGCGGAGCAGCATGCCTTCAAGGAGCAGCGGCCAGCCAGCGAGGAGCAGAACACCTTCCAGGAGCAGCACGACGACTTTCAGGAAAAGCCGAACGCCTCACAGGAGCAGAGTGCCTTTGAAGAGCAAGAGCACGCCTTCGCTGCGAAACCCACCGCATTCACCGACATGGTGTAGGACCAGCTGGTGTCCTTAGCGGCGAAGGGGACGGAAGCACCGTACGCCGACATGGAGAAGTGTGCGCTGGACCTTCTCGCCAGCTCGTTGAAGGCGTGTGAGGACACTGGCATCGCTGGCAGGACCAACGAAGAGCTGGAATGGGTAGTCGGTTCGGGCGGCCATGTGTGCAGACTGGCAGGCCAGGCTGTGAAGGTCTCTCTTACGCCTCGTCCTCCGCGGTGCGCCTGTGCGCGAGCCTCGCATACAGTTTGTCACTTGACTGTGCTTAGGCAGCGTCGAAATCGTCATGGCGGCGTCGGTGCCCCCAAGCGGAGATATGACGATTTCTCATGGGTGCGACGCATCGCCGCTTTCTGGGGTGGCGATGGGCGGGACGGGGAGGGGAGAAGATGACAGGAGAGGGGTCGACGTAGTAGCACGGGTAGCACGGAAGCGCAGGCACGGCAAACTTCAAGGACGGTCCGAAGGGACGTCCTCACGCACTGTTTTTGAGTTTTCCCGAAGCCCTGAGTTCCCTGGGGGCCTCCCCCCGCAACCGTCAGCACCGAGGCTGAGGTGATGGGCCCAAGTGCTCTAAGCCTCAGTTCTGTGCGCGTTGAGTGAAGTGCAGTGCGCCTCCGTGCTAAAGCGGGCTTTGAAGGTCCCTCTTGGACCATGAAGTCCCGCAGGCTTGCCCGAGTAACGCATTGATGACACCAGCAGCAGGTGTCGTGGCTTTAGCTCTCAACCAGCAAAGGTGAGCCAGAGAGCATGGGACATCGGCTGCCCAGGTCTTGCTCTGTTGCTCCTCCTCCTCCTCCTCTTCCTCCTCCTCCTCCTCCTGTTCCTCCTTCTCCCCCTCCGCACTACAATCAACGACAGCAGCAGCAGCAGCAGCAGCAAGCATCATCATCATCATCATCATCATCATCATCATCATCCTCATCATCATCATTATCATCATCATCATCATCATCCTCATCATCATCCTCATCATCATCAGCATCAGCAGCAACATCATCATCGTCATCATAACCAACATCGTCAGCAGCAGCATCATCGCCATCAGTCGTCATTAGCCTCATCATCATCATCATCATCATCATCATCATCATCGTCGTCGTCGTCGTCGTCATCATTGTCGTCGTCATCATCATCGTCGTCATGATCATCATCGTCGTCGTTATCAGCACCATCACAATCATCATCACCACCACAACAATCCTCATAATCATCATCGTCGTTGTCATCGTCACCACTACCACCATCATCACCACCACGATCATCAACATCATCATCATCATCATCATCATCATCATCATCGTCATCATCATCATTACCATCATCCTTACCATCATCATCATCATCATCAGCAGCAACAGCATCATCATCATCGTCCCTCCCTCCCTCCCTCCATCCCTCCCTCCCTGCCTCCCTCCCTCCTTCTCGTCCTCCCTCCCTCCCTCCCTCCCTCCCTCCTCCCTCCCCCGTCCTCCCTCCTCCCTCCTCCTCCTCCCTGCTGCCTCCTCCTCCTCCTCATCATCCTCCTCCTCGCTCGTCCTTCTCCTCCTTCTGCTGCCAAAGCCCTTCAGCAATCCCACCGGTCTGCTCCGTAGAACCATGGTTGTACACCATGGTGGTACGCCAGGCCTCTGGTCCCAGCAACGGGGTTTCGCACCCCTGAGAGATATCACTTCAAGAGTCCCTCTACGAGAGAAGGCCGCCACCAAGAGTGCCACCATGCCTCTAAATCATCTGGCCGCAATAAAATTGCACTCTGCCGGTGTCCAATCAGCAGCCTGGGACGCCGACCGGTGCCAGTTGGCTTCCTGAGAATTTCTGACCAGAAGCGTAAACGTCTGCAACAGTTACAATCGTTCCAAGGCGGCTCCTTTACAAACCAGGGCTCTCGCTGAACACTTCAATGAAGCCAATGATTCTACTCTTCGCTTTCCTTACACATCGGAGGATACAGACAGCTCCAGTTCAGAACGGCGCTCCCACCTGAATCGCAGGCCCAATGAGCGCTCGTCTTTCAAGGGGGCGGGTCCCGTAGCGGAAGGGCATGGTTTCAGGGACTAGCGAGGAGTGGACGTGGGACGGAAGGGTGTACTGCAGAAAAATGGGCGCATCTTAGGTTAGCTTGTCCTCCTCCTCCTGCAGAGGCGAGCCCCCTGTTCCCAAGAGAGGGTCTCGCACCTCGGCCAGAGGTTCCCCCTGCAGGGCCCCACAAAGCATTGTGCCCCTCAAGTAGTTCACGAACGCCAGGTCCACCTTGTTGCAAGCTTGGGTTCCTCTGGCCGGCTGGTTAGCCCGAGGCACCAGATCTGACCAGTGGTGTTCCTCTGCTCATCCTGCCTTTGCAGTGGAGAGGGCCCGGCAGGTCCCCCTCCTCCCCTGGGTCCCCGCACCCATCCCTGTCCGCGGGCAGATTCGTCAAGCCCCTGTGCGCGGGGCCGCCTCCGACGGAACATCGATATAGTAGGCTGCCCAGCCCTTTCCACTGCGAAGGGAGGGGGGAGGCGGATGAGGAGAGAGAGAGAGAGAGACACAACCAAAAAAACGCATAACAATAAGAATATTAATATCAATAAGTATAATAACAATGATGAAAATACTGATAATAATGATAATAATACTAACAAGAAGAAAAAGAATAAGAAGAGAGGGAGAGAAGCAAAAGAGACAGAGAGCGAGGAAAGAGAGCTAACGAGAAATATAGAAGTGAGAAAGAGAAGAGAGAGAGAGAGAAAGAGACAAGAGCGAGAGATAGAAGAGAGAGAGAGAGACACACACACACACACACGCACGCACACACACACACACTTCTTCACGTCGGCGGCGAGGCAGAGCGACTGCGCTGGCGGATGGGCACACGCACACACATACTGACACGCAGGAGGATGAAGTGTACCGGAGCGAACACAAAATGCGTCAACGGTGCTGCAATACACCCTCCGGTCACAAGTCTTCTGTCCACTGGTCCCCACAAGCATGTTTGCTGCACTGCGCGAAGCGCCCCCTTGAAAGACGAGCGCCCCGTGGGCGCACAACTCAGACGGGAACTCCAACTTGAAAGAAAGCATCCTCCATCTGTGCACGTGTGCGCGGGTGCTCCACACGATTACCCACAGGGTAACATGGTCAAGGAAGTCTCAAAATCATAGA